GCTCAGTGGAGTAAGTGCTTCCCTGGCAATCACAAGAGCCTGAGTTCAGTCCCTGGTTCCACCAGAAAATGGAAAACTATTGCATGTTCCTGGATAAGGAGAATCAACATTGTGAGAATGGCCATACTCCCAAAATTTTTATACAAATTCAATGCAATCCCAATGAAAATACTATTAGTATACTTTATACTTCACAGAGCTAGAGAAAACTTTCCTCAAATTCATTTTGGACCATAAGAGATCCAGAATATCTAAAACAATCCTGGGAAACAAGGGAAAGGCAAGAGGTGTCACAATGCCTGGCCTAAAATTATACTGTCAAGCTACTGTAATAAAATCAGCATGGTACTAACACAGAGACAGGCCTGAGGATCAATGGAACAGATTAGAAGATGCAGATACAACTGCAAACTCACTTGGCCACCTTATCTTTGATAAAGGAGCCAAATAGACTCACTGAAAGAAAGATAGCCTCTTTAATAAATGGTGCTGGAAAAACTGGCTTTCCACATGCTGAAGGCTAAAACTAGACCCATGCCTATCATCATGCACAAAGCTACAGTCAAAACGGATCAAAGCAGCAACACTAAATCTTCTGGAGAAAAATGTAAGTAGAAATCTTAAAGACACAGGGTTAGGTAGAGTTCATAAACAAAAATCAAACTGCATGGAAAATACTTCAAAGAACTAACAGTGGGGAATCTCCTTTTTTTTTTGAAGTTTCTGCTCTTCAAAGGAAATCTCCAACAGAGTAAAAAGAAAACTCACACACTGGGAAAAAATTACAGCTGACTATCCCTCTAAAAAAGGCCTTCTATCTAGAACATATTAAAAATTAGAAAAAAATCAGGACCCGGAAATTCAAAGACCCAATCCATAAATGGGCATCTGAGATTAATATACACTTCTCAGAGGAAGAAATACAAATGGTAAGTAATTATATGAAAAAAAAATGTTCAGTATCATTGGTCATTCAAGGAATACAAATTAAAACAACAATGAGATCCCCTCACACCCCAGAAGGAATGGCTATCATCAAGAAGTCAGTCAACAAATGCTGGAGGGACTGTGGAGAAAAAGGAACCCTTCTACACTACTGGTGGGAGTGCAGACTGGTACAACCACTATGGAAATCAATGTGGACCTTCCTTCAAAAGCTAAGATTGGAGGTCTCATTCAAGCCAGCTATTCCTCTCCTAGGTATTTTTCCATTAAGAACTGAAAACCTCATACCACAGCGATGTATGTGTACCCATGTTCATAGCAGAGCAATTTGTCAGAGCTAAACTCTGGAAACAACCCAGATGCCCATCAACTGAAGAATGGATAAAAAAGATGTGATATTTTTACACAGTGGAGTATTATGCAGCTATAAAACAGGATAAATTTGTCAATAAATGGATGCAACTATATATACTAAGTGAAATAAATCAGACCTTCATGTGCAAACATCATGTTGTCTCCTCAGTATGAGAACCTGAAAGAGAAAAATGGAATCTGAAGGGGACAATAGTTACTGGGAAAAGGGAATGAACTTATTCAAGAGGAAACAGTTACTGAGTTGAGGAGAAGTTCAGGAGAGGGAGTGGGGGAAAGAGATTTATCTATGTATGTAAACTAGATGGTTTGGACAACTGTACTGTGCATTTCTGCTGGTCTATAGAATGAAGCAATTAATGCTTTAATTTGTTTTGTCTACTTCTTTCAATTATTTGTGATTTTTCTCTTCTAAATTGCTTATACATTTCTTTCTTTTTTCCTTTCTTCTTCCAATTTTATTTGCATATATCTGGTAATATAAATAACTGGTAGGGAGACAAGAGTATGCATAACAACAAGTACTGTGAAATTCATATCACTTTATTAAGTGAAATTCTATATCACTTGTAAATTTGTTTTAATTCTAATTTATAAAAATAATTATTAAAAATCTTTGCTAAATCTGAGAAACATCCACAAATGCTGACCAGCACACTGCAGGCTCTAAGTACGCTCATCAGACCAGTCCACTCACCTCCAACCCAGGAATTACACGGCAACATCCATGTTTGCTTTTGGAAACTGCTGCTCTGAGTGGAAAAATGGTAAGGGCTGCACCCCACAGCCTACATGGGGACAGAGAGCACTGTGCTCCACCTGCTTTAGTCCCCTGACCTTGCTCCTCCCACACACTTCCAAAGGCTGAAACCTGGACTTCTGTACTCATGGGCCTTGTGGGGTCCTGAGACTACACCTCCCACCTTGGCAGCCCCACACCTGAGCCCCACCACCCGCCTGGCACAGAGTGACCCTGAGGCATGTGCTCTCCAGTCCTCCAAGCAAAGTGATCTGGTGCCTCGCTTCTCCCTGCTGTTCCACAGGAACCCTGGCATTTGACCCTGTGCCAGCCTCGGGGGGATCCCAAGCTGTGCTGCATGGGTTCCTATGGAAATGGAGTGGAAGGGACCAAGGTCATCACAGGAATCTTTTCATGAAAATCCCAGACACCCTGACACAGAACATGCATGTGAAGAAGAGTGCAAGAACCATTCGTGGCCAAGGACCCAGCACCCTTGTCCTGAGCATTGTAACCCCCACTCCACCATGGCCCTGAGGGATGACACAGGCACAGGGTGCAAGCCAAGAAAATATTTTAATGCAAATTCCCTAACAATGCCAATGAATCATCCACAGTTAAAGCCACACGGGAACCTCACACTTACCACGCACCCTAAGATATCAAAGCAGCCCCCAGATGCCTCCCATGGAGCCCAGCTGTCCTAGGAGCCCTTCTCTTCTGATTTCTTATTTGCCTTCGTCTTCCCCACCATGGTCTCTACAACCACAGAGGTCTCCTCGTATGTCTCAATGCTCTCTGTTGAAATCTGCTCAATGGATTCCACCACCTCCACTTTCTTAAAAGCCATGGCCCTAGGAAGGCTCCTTTCTGGCCGGCCACGGCTCTTCCCCTCTGCTCCATCCTGAGAGGGCCGGGGCCCTGGAGGTGGGGGTGTAGACGGTTCCTCCGGTCCCGGGATGATCACAGGGCAGGGTCTCCTAGGGGTCTCCTCTTCCTTCTGGCCCTGACCCTTCACTCCAGGGCCTTTTGGTTCCTGGGGTCTTATCTCTTTCCCCTTGTCTACAGACTGCTGGTCACCTGTGTGCTCTCCTTCGTCCCCCTTGGGGCCTCCTGTTCCGTCCTCTGAAGGTGGTGTGGGCTGCTCAGGAGAGGGTTCCACGTGGCCGTCCCCATGCACAGAGCTATCCTCGATAGAAATCACCACCCTGCCTCTGGTGGGGATGGAGGAGGAGCAGAAGCCAGGATCCACATAGCTAGCGTCCCCCGTGACCAGCACATGGCGCCCTCTGGTGTAAAGCTCAGCAGGGGGCTCAGGCGTAGGCTCTTTGTGGGCCTTCACTCTCTCCTCAACCATCTTGCACAGTTTCCCAAAAGCTTTGCTAATCTGCCCCCCATCTGGCACATCCTCCGGACTCCCTTCCTGAGCTGAGGGGCCTGCTTCTCTGCCCCCTAACTCACGCTTGGATTCAGCCTTCTCTTTGGCAGCCCCCTGCCCCAGCATAGGGTCTTCCGGATCTTTTATGGGGGCATCATCCAGAATTTCATCTGCTTTGTCCTGAGCTGTGAGCTCCTTCCTCCTTGGAACGTTCTTGGGGAGGCCTCTTTGCCTCGGTTTAGCTGCAGTGATGTCCTGCACAGCCCTGGTGAGATCTGACCAAGAAACAAAGATAAAAACACAGGCAGTAACTCCAGTGTCACTGTCAATGAAAGATAATGAAAATGTATTGGCTGAAAACTATG